GTTTTAAGTATAATTCTGGCTAAAATTATGTTAATTTTTGGCCGGAATTATGATATACAAATATAAGAAATTTTTTATATAGTCACATCTTTTTATAATCACCAAATATGGACTGTCCCAAATGTGTGACTATAAAGAGAGTTGACTGTATTAGTACTTTTAAGTATATCATGTTGTCCTGGTAGATCAGAATTGTACATCATGTATCTTTTGATTAAAAAAAACTATATTTACAAGATCTTAAGTTTTTAAATATACAGCAAAAATTAAAAGTAGGTTGCGCTTTATAAATTCTGTAAATAGATTTTATATACTGATCAGATTATTTTAATTGATATATTTATCATAATTTATATTTATTATTAAAAATTAATAATAAAAGACAAATTAGCCTATATAGAATCCCGAAAAATATATAAAAAGGTCACATTTGAGTTTGCTTAAAAAGAACCTAAATTTTCATGAAAATCTTGCCTTTTTTAGATAGTACCGGCCTAAATTTTTATTGTCCGTTTTGATACTGGCCAGCATTATCATAATTCCAGCCCTGAAAAGTTGCTTATTTTAAGCCAAAATCTTGCCGATCATTTATGACCTTCATATGTATTTTTCAGGGTCCTGCCTATATACTTTTCAAAATTATTAATAAGTGTATTATATGTAATGTTTCATACAAATTAAATTTTTTTTCTGAAATTTGATTTAATTTAAATACTTAATTTAATCTAAAAATAATTATCTTATTAGAGTCTAGTAATCCAACTTTAATGATCTTTTTTTAATCAATAGCTTTTGTTACCCTGATTAAAATAAAAAAAATTATCAAAATTGGACTGCTAGATTAAATGTTATTTGTAAAATATGTTTTTACTCTTTAGAAGCAATTAGAATTATACTGTATTATGAATTAATTTGTGCAGATCACTAATTATATATTACTTAATATATTATATTATACTTATATACTATTATAATTCTATTATTATAAACCAATTAAATTTTAATTAAATTTTCTTATAATTCATATAAAATTTTTTATCCTTAATAAAATAGTATATTAGTATTACCTCTGATTGCATTTAGACTGTAAAAATCATTTAGATCTTCGGAATTTAAAAATAATACCATCTAATAGTGAATATACAGTACTTATAAAATAAAATATAAATATTAAAAAATGGGCATATACATTAAATCCAACTAGGTATTTGATTAGTAAACTAATTAAACTAATTTTGACAGGTCTTTGCAAATTAATAATAATTAAAAATTAAAAATATTAATTATTTACTTGACTAATCTATAAATTCAAAATAATTAATATTACTAAACCTTTAAATTCTAAAGATTTCCAGTTCTTCCAAAAGATAATTAAAGGAAAAATGCTGAAATGGCAAAGAAAAAAGAAGCAAATCTACTATCATCTTTACTTTTAAATGTTTTAATAAATCAAATTTTTTTTTAATTTTTTTTTCCATTTTAATTTTTAATTAATAATAAAAAAAAATTCACTTTTTAAATAACTATCCCTATTTCAACTAGTACTATACTTCTAAAAATAAGAAAACTAACAGAAAAAAAACTTTACTTAATATAAATATTTAAAGTCCAGCCATTTAATTTGTGATTATTATAACTTTTAGAAATGCAGTAAATTTAAGTTTTGTAAAAGCAAAAATATTTTTAGTGTAAACTAGTTCTAGTATATAACTTCTCCAAAACTAAAGCCTTAAGTTTTGAAAGAATCTTCTTTAAAGTCTTTAAATTGTTAAAAAGCATCTTCAAGCTTTTTTTTATCATATTTTCAATTAAAATTATGGAATTTATATATTAAATATTTTTAATAAAATTATTGTGATATTTAGTAATAAAAAAACAACTTATAAAAAAATGTATAAATAGAAATTATAAATAGAAAAACTTATTTTTTAGATGATTAAACTCATAAGTATATAATTATTGCACAAAAATCATATAATTGGTCCGATTTCTGGCTTTTTCTCCAATATAAATATGTTTTGTATTAATAAAAGAATATATTTGTTATAAAATTCCATTATATTTTATATATAATTATAACATAAATTTAGGAAGAATTAAATGATGAATTTGTATACAAAATTTACTTTTTTAGAATAAATGTAATTTAAATTGCCTTTATCTATATATCTATATCTATATTTATACTACATAATAATTGTTTTCGAATATAGTTGTGTTATTAATGTGGCTTAGTTATATGATGCTTTTTTTTACCATTACAACTTACAAGGCAACGGGTTATAAATCTTATTTAGTTTACAATTAATCTCTAATAATTATTTATATATAAGTACTATTTTGCTATTTACATATCATTTTTTTATTTGAAGTTAAAATATTGTAAAATAGTAAGTATTAGATCAAGAAGAACATAAAGGAAAATGTACACAAAGAATTGGCTAATAATTATCAAATGTACCACAATTTAAACCAACCATATGGATATAGAATGATCATTTAAGAATGTTCTGGTTTTATTATTATGTTACAAAACCATTTAAATTGAAATCTTTATTTATGAGAAATTTCAAATTGAATCATTCATTCATTTCAATTATTGTTACAAAAAAAAACATAAAAAAAATATATATATATATAAGTTAATAATTTATCTAGAAACACTTTCGGTGAACAATCGAGGGACCAGATTCATCGTATTCTTGTTTACTGATCCACATTTGTTGGAAGGTGGAAAGCTAAAAATATATTAAAAATAAATTTAACATTACAATAAATTCGATAATTAATATAAATACACGTTAAGAGTATACATACCGAAGCCAAGATGGATCCTCCGATCCAGACAGAATATTTACGCTCTGGAGGAGCGACGATCTATAAATATTTGTAATCAAAATTAGTAAAATAATTCCCTTTTAAAAATTAATTCATAAATAATATTACCTTAATTTTCATGCCTAAAATTTAATTTATTGGTAAATCAAAAAATTTTAGAACAAATAAATATTGTTACAAAACAAATGAACAAATCACATTGATGAAACTTACTGGAAGGTGCCAACGCTGTAATTTCCTTCTGCATACGATCAGCAATACCAGCATACATAGTAGTACCTCTAAAATATTTATAGATCATATAAAACTTATTTTAATATCAAAGGAAAAAATCAAACATATTCATATTAATCTTGAGTTATTTACCCAGAAAGGACAATGTTGCCATAAAGATCTTTACGAATATCAACATCACATTTCATAATAGAGTTGTATGTGGTCTCATGTATTCCTGCCGCCTCGAGACCCAAGAACGAAGGTTGGAAAAGAGCTTCAGGAGCACGGAAACTATTATTAGAAATGTTACAAGATATACTTATTAAAATCGGATACCATCTTCAATCGGCCATTTAAAGTAACAAAGAATACAAACCGTTCGTTGCCAATGGTAATGACTTGTCCGTCAGGTAATTCATATGATTTTTCCAAAGCTGACGACTGAGCAGCAGTTTGCATTTCTTGTTCAAAATCTAAAGCAACGTAACAGAGTTTTTCTTTTATATCACGAACAATTTCACGTTCAGCAGTGGTTTGGAATGAATAACCACGCTCCATGAGAATAACCATCAAGTAATTGGTTAAATCACGACCAGCCAAATCTAATCGAAGAATAGCGTGAGGAAGGGCATAACCTTCGTAGATTGGTACAGTATGGGTGACACCATCGCCAGAGTCAAGAACGATACCGGTAGTACGTCCAGATGCATACAATGAAAGTACAGCCTATAAATAAATAAATATGATCCAGGTTATTATAGTTTCATAATAATTAAATTATAATAAAAAAAACAACTCACTTGAATTGCAACATAAAAAGCAGGCGCATTAAAAGTTTCAAACATAATTTGGGTCATTTTTTCACGATTAGATTTAGGATTAAGGGGTGCTTCAGTTAAAAGTACGGGATGTTCCTCAGGCGCAACACGAAGTTCATTATAAAACGTGTGATGCCAGATTTTTTCCATGTCATCCCAATTCGTTACAATACCATGCTCAATTGGATATTTGAGGGTAAGGATACCACGCTTAGATTGGGCTTCGTCGCCTACATATGAATCTTTCTGACCCATCCCAACCATCACACCCTGATGACGAGGACGACCAACAATGGATGGGAAAACCTAATTTTATACAATATTTGAAAAATTAATGCATATAAAGAACTCTACATTAAAAAATTAATTCCAGGTTTTGAAATCTACTTTTATAACATAATTTATCAGGCTCATTGATCCGAAAATTAAAACAAATAAAGATCTTAAACGACTTTTATTGTATAAAAAAATGCATAAATTTAACTTACGGCACGTGGGGCATCGTCACCAGCGAATCCGGCTTTGCACATACCGGAACCGTTGTCAATGACAAGCTATTGTATAGATTGAGAGATGAAAATTTAAATGTAAGATTAGTCTCAAATCATATAATATATCTTAATTTTAGTTCGTATACTGGACAAAATAAGAATTTAACGTACAGCAGCAACTTCGTCCTCCATGTGAAAACCTTTATGAGTAACTTATACTTGTATATATATATATAATATTACAGCAATGTGCTGTTTGCTTGAAGAAAAAAAATTTTTTAGGGGAAAAAGGTGGGAATACTATTATAGAATTTGGTGCACTAGTATCTTCAATTTGGTGGGACAGGTGGATGAAGCGTGTTCTTATAAGGATGTTAGCTGCTAATGCTGGGCGTGTTGTAGGACTCAAGAACTCGTGCTACATGATCAGATGCCATCATTATTACAATACTAAGAAATCCAAGATACTTGGATGTTTTAATAACATCTTGGCTAAAAGCTTGAGACAAGACGACAAGAATGTCGCGTGATCGCAGTCCTGCGTCCTAAAATTTACATCAGAACAAACACGTGCATAATTTTACTTTCTTTTTTTAAAGTTTTTATTAATATTTTTTTGACGAAAAAAAAGATTGTAATTTTTCATAATTTTTTTGTTTTTTTAATTTGTCTATACTAATATTTAACTAAACTAATAAGTTTAGAATTCTTAATTATTTAATTTAAAAAAAATTTAAAATTATATAATATTTTATAATTAATTAAATAAATATTTATCACTATAGTATATACTATAATAAAAATTTTATTATAATAATAAAATTCTTAATCTTTAAAAAATAAAAATATAATATTTAAAGAAAAAAAACTATATAATTCAATAAAAATAAAAATAAATAAAAATAAAAAATTAAAAATAAAGTTAATAAATATTAATTAGCAGAATAATACATTACTAATATAAATAAATTTTATTTAAAGAGATTTATCTTTTACTTTTACTTATTAAAATAAATTTCAATTTTATAAAGTATTACAAATATTATTTAAATTTTAAATGTAAAAGATCCAGAATATTATAGATAATATTTTATAATAATTTTACTACTATTTAATTTATTTTAATTAAACAATTTTAACAAGATATTAATTATTATATTACAATTACTGAATACCAAATAATTTAGCAAAATATTATATGATATAGTAAATAAATAAAATTTTAAAAGAAGTTAAAATTAAAATTATATGAACTTTTTTATTAGATTTCAATAATTTTAGTATTATTTGTATTATTTAAATTGTCTTATTAAGATAAATTGAATAGTAGTAAAATTATATTTATAATTCAAAAACTATTTAATAATTAGATTTTAACAATTTTAGTATTATTTAAATTATCTTATAACAAAGTATATAAAAACAAAAAAATATAAAGTAAATTTTTATCGACTACCCTAATATAATTAATAAACTACGAACCAAATTATCTTAGCCTAAATATATTATTAATATATACATATTGCTAAAATATTTTAGCTATTTTGGCTACATGACAAATTCTTTAAAGTAAAATCTTCTGATTTTATAGATCTGACTGAAATTAAATTTCAAATAGATAATTTAGATCTGAAAAACTTATGAAAGAACTTTTAAAAAATTTTGATCAACTTACATAATTTTAGCAAAACTTTGGAATTTCAAACAACCTATAATTAATATATGGCTAAAACTTTAAAATCTAATTTGAAATTATTGCAAATTATGCCAAAATTTTCTGAAATTTGTTAAAAGTTGCTGCAGATCTGACTTAAATTAAAAAATTTATTAATATATTTATAAGTAACTATATTTTAGAATTAAATTGTAACTGAAATTGTAAAAAAGTTTTGGCAACATGTATAAATTAATATTAATAAAAATATAATTAAAAATTATTTAATATAATTTTAAAGATCTACCTACAGAGTTAAACAATCACTCGACAGTGCACACTGCACACGTGGGGTATTACCGGTATGACGAGTGGTTTGTAATTTAATTATATTAGAGTAGTTATTAGGAAATTTTACTTTGTATATATTTTTTTATTTTTTTACTAAAAAAATATATATATAATTTTAAAGATTAATTTAGTTAATAATTTTAATATCAATTAAATTATTTTGATAAGAATATAAAATAAATCAAATAATATTATATTATGATGCTAAAAGTTTACAATTATATAATTTTATTTCAATTTTTAAGCTGATTCTATATTATATAATCTGAAATTCAGCCAATAAAAACTCATGATTTCTTATATAAAGTACTAATAAAATGCAATTTTTAACAATAAAACCATTATATATTGATAAAATTTTTTTTAAAAAAAAATTACATTTAATTCAAATTATTATGATAATTCAGGCTGGTATTATCACAATATATGAAGTTAGCCTAATTTATCATAAATTCTGGCCAACATATTTTATTTCAAATTTAGGCTGATTATATAAAAATTATGCAATTTCAAATGCTTATAATTTTTTATATAGATTTTCTTTTAAAAATCTAACCAGTAATTTAATAGAACTTATCTTAAAAAATAAAGTTACCAGTTTATTTTTTCTAAATTGTATTTTTTTTAAAAATCTAAAAGATTTTTAAGTATTACATTTTATTGTTAAGTATAGATTTTCAGTATCATAATAAGATTATAGTTTAATAAATATTTTTTTATTTTAAATAACTGAATAAAGTCTTTATTAAATTTTATAAATAAATTATATTCAACTCCAAAATTTCTGAGACCTCTACTTTTACTATACAATAGAAATGTTCAAATATACTAGCATTAAATAATATTAAACAAACTAGAAAAATAAAATAAAAAACAAAAAATAAAATAAAATAAAATAAAATTAGTTAGCAATAAAACTATTACCAATTATTACATTTTTAAAACCAAAACAATCCAAATATTCTTTTAAACTTATTAATAAGATACTTCCAGTTTTTTTTTAGCATCAATCTAATTTAGCTAAAACTGTAAATTTATAAATACCATTCAAGAACTTATCTATTTTTTTGACTTGCTTGATATACATGCTATCCAAATTATTTTAGGATGTCATAATTATAATTTGGGATGCTGTAATTCATTCAGTTTATATATAATTTACTATGTAAAGTGCCAAAATAATTTGGGATGTCATAATTAAATTTGGAATTTTATTTATAATTACGGCAGCTCAAAATAATTTGGGTGGCATGTATATTACTTGACCATTTTTATTTTTTATTCAATTATAATAGTAATTATTTATATATTTATATATTTTTTAAATTATTTATATAAAATATAAAATTATTAAATTATATATAAATTCTAAATAAAAAAAATAATTTTAAATAAAATATTTTATGTAAATTCTATAATATTAATTTTTAAGATAATTACTTCAAATAACGGGCGGTTAAAATCACCGATATCATGTGACACTATTTACATGATTTATTATTATGAAATTTCGTGTTTATTGTTTAAATTTAGTAATAATTAATATAAAGTGGCTTATTGCATATCTAAATTTAGTAATGCGATTTATTGTATTTTCTGATGTTTATTGTTAAAATTTATGTTAATTAAATGTGGCTTATATTTTCTTACTCTCTCGTTAAATATTGTTTTTTTGTAAACACTACCTCTCGCTAAAGTTTAATCTTACACACTTATTATACATACTTGTTTAACCATAATAATAAATAAGTACTATGGATGATAACAAACATAATGAAAGACCTATATCTGACGTTCTAAATGGACAATAACTAAATGATGAAAATCATAATACTACTCTGATAGAAGGTAGTATAATAACAGATGAATCTATTGGTGATATTGAAGTTGGTACTACTTTTTCCACATGGGAGGATGCAGAAATAAAACTTAATCAATATGCAAAGTTTTCTGGATTCTCTTTAAGAAGAAAATGCGTTGAAGTTGATAAAGATGGAGTAATACAACGTAGAACATTTGAATGCAGTTTCTCTGGTAAAGCAGTTTCTAATCAAGTTATTGATATAACTCACCAACGGGAAAGAGTGTCTAAAAAGATTATGTGTCCATGGCACATAAATCTTACCAAACCCAAATCATCAACAGAAATAGGTATTACAAGTATTATTGGCCAACACAATCATTCTATGATCCCTGATATATATTTGTATGCATCTAAGTATTGTAGATTATCAGAAGTAATTCTTGAAAGGATTGAATTTTATGTTACTAAAGGAAATATGGGATCAAAGCAAATCTATCCATTATTAGTTGCAAGTTTTCCAGATCAATATATTCACAAAAGAGATCTTTATAATGCAATACAAAAGTTTAAATCACCACTTACTAATCGATATGGAGATGCTCAAAATACAATTAATAAGTTATTTGAGTTAAAAGACCATGAACCTGGGTGGATAATTTATACAAGGCTTGATCCTTTTGATAATCGTCTTATGGGTTTGTTCTAGATGTTATCCAATCAATACCAATGCCTTTTACGATATAATGATGTTATACAAACAGATAACACATGTCAAACTAATTGGTTTGATATGTATTTAACGCTTTTAGTTATAATTGACAATAATACTAAAAGTCGTCTTGTTGCTCAATGTTTATCAAAAGATGAAACAACTAAGAGTTACAAATAGTTTCTTGATTGTATTCTTAAAGCAACTAATAATAATCCACCTGTTTGCTTATTTTCTGACACAGATTCTGCTTTAATAAATGCAGTATCATCAAAGTTTCCTGAAACACATCATTATCTTTATATTTTTCATATTTAAGAAAACCTACGAAAAAATTTAGCAGGCAAATTAGGTAAAGAATACCAATCATTTTACAAGGAATTTTTACACACCTGAAATAGCTCATTTGTAGATAATTTTTATCGCTGTTGGACACAATTACTTGAAAAATATCCACAAACTCAAGAATATTTTAATAGAATGTTAAACAATTGTTACACTGGTCGAAATCAAAACTTTCGACCGTTAAGAGCTTTCGGCACAATTTTTGCCGATTTTGTCACATTTTTTGACTAACGGCAAAAATCGGTAAAATCAATCATAAATCGACTGATACTGATTGTTAAACGAAAACTCGTTCAGTCTTTTGGTGAAAAATTGACTTATACCGATTATTATATACACTGGTCGAAATCATTTATTTTGTCAATAAGACCTTTCAGCAATAATTCGGCAAATCGATCACATGATTCATCACACATTCGGTTAATTACAAAAATCAGAAAAAATTTGGCATAAATCAACTGGTCGATTTTTTTATTAACAACATGATCGACTTGGAATATTCAGCCTTAATACAAATTGGCCTATATTCGATGATCTACGATTGAATTATGTTACTAATTAAATGTTACACATTACGTAATACGCGTATTAAAAGTTTAAAAAAGGATCTCTTATGCATCCTTTTTTAAACTTTTTTAATTTCTTCCTTTTCCTTTCCTTTC